TTTTTATGACCATCAAACTACTTCTAATGAAGAATTCTCAAAATACATAGACCTACTAGAAGAATTCAAAACCATGTGGGAAAAAGATGAAGTACAAATCAACCTCATCATACTCTGCTACTGGAATTACCCCAAAGATGATTTCAGTGAGTCTGTAACAGATGAGTTTATGTGAGTTTCTATACTATCAGTGGATGGAGTGCCAAGCCTGGAGTCAGGAAGACCTTCTCCTGATTTCAAATCCAGCCTCAGATGTTTACCAGCTATGTGACTTGGGCAAGTCACTTAAACTTGTTTGCCTCAGTTACCTCATCTGTAAAATGAGCTGGAGAAGGAAATGGCAAACGATTCCAGTATCTTTGCCAAAAACAAACAAACAAACAAACAAAGGGGGTCACAAAGAGCCACACACGGCTGAAACAACTGAAGAACAACAAAATAAGAAAGAGCCTGAACAAGGACAGGATAACAACTTGTCCAGGAATGTTTCCAGATGAATTACAATGAATATGAGAATAAGAACAAAAATAATAATGACAATGATAATACTTCAAACTGAGTGTCCTAGAGGCATCTAAAACTCCACATACTCAAAATTTAACTAGTTATCTTCTCCCCAAAAGTTATCCTTCTTCAAGGATGCAAACTGTTAAATTCTCAGGGTGAGCATTTACACCTCAGAAAGAGGCTATGTATTGTTTTCTTAATTATTTAGACTTATAAAAGTGTTAAAAATGCAGATTAAACTTTAACATATATATATATATATATATATATATGCATACTCTGAACTGAGCCAGGCCTGGAGAACCTGGTTGTTAAACATTTACCAGTATACCTCTGTAATGTTCTATAAATATTGCTTGAGCTCAGCAGGAATGTACTTGTAGGCTCAGAGAATGAAATCATCACCAGACAGAAGGCCTGGTAACTGAAGGATAATAACTGATACTATTACCATTAAACAATAAAAAATGGCATTTATAACAGTTTAAGTTCTACAAAGTTCTTTACATCTATTATCTGAGTCACACAACATCCCTTTCCTGCTTCCAAGCATCTTCATTTCTGTCAAGGCCACCACCGTTTTTCCAGTCACCCAGGTACCCAATGTTGGTAACATTGTTGATCCCCTATTCCTATTTACCCCACATGAATAAAATTAATGGAAAAACTTTTATTAAGTGCTTACTATGTGCAAAGCACTGGGCTAAGTGTTGGTGATACAAATATAAAAGTAACACAGTCCCTGGCCTCTAAGAGCATACCTAATGGGGAGCAACAACACATTTGGAAGGTTTCTGCAAGTCAGATGGAAAAACCATGTCATGGTCTTTAGGGTACAGCACCAAAGCAGATGGCAATACCTATTCTTTAATATTGGGGCAGCTACGTGGTACAGTAAATACAGTGCTGGGCCTCAAGTCAGAAAGACTCCTCTTCCTGAGTTCAAATCCAGCCTCAGACACTAGCTCTGTGACCCTCGACAAGTCACTCAACCACGTTTGCCTCAGTTCCTCATCTGTAAAATGAGTTGAGGAAGGAAATGGCAAACCATTCCAGTATCTTTGTAAAAAAAAAATGGGGTCACAAAGAATTAGACACAACTTAAAAATCACTGAACATGCTTTACATTCTTCAATGTAATTTCATAACAAATTCTACTAGCAAAATTGTATCAGTTTTTGATGAGAACCATTTAATGATGCCAACTACTTTGGTGACAAGAATATTTTTTCCTAGGTCTTCAGTAGCTGTGGCTGCAGCATCTACAGTTAGAGTTATAAAGCTACAGCTCCAGAGGGTTACTTTTTCAGATTATGGCCATGGGCCCAGGGCTGAAAGCATTGCTATTCCAAAGTTTATTGGGTTCGGGATCCTAGGCTGTCTCCATCAGGGTCGATGGAAAGATTCTGGTCAAGATGATGGAGGTGGTGGTGGTGATTTGATGTGCCTGGCACAATCTACTTCTTCTCTGTCTCCAACAGATGTGAAGAGTTGCTTTCCCACAGCTAATCAGTTGCCAGATCATATCATTTCTACTTCTACAACATCTATCACATTGACCAACATGACAAAACAGGAAAGAGATAAATGTTGCAGAAGATGTGGGAAAATTGGAACACTAATGCATTTTTGTTGGAGTTGTGAAATGATACAACCATTTTGGAGAGCAATTTGGAACTATGCCCAAAGGTCTCTAAAAATGTGCATACCCTTTGACCCAGCAATAGCACTTCTAGGGCTATATCCCAGAGAGATCACACAAATGGGAAAAGGACCTACATGTACAAAAATATTTATAGTGGCTCATTTTGGGGGGCAAAATATTGGAAATTGAGGGGATGCCCATCAATTGGGGAATAGCTGAACAAGCTACAGTATATGGATGTAATGGAATACTATTGTGCAATAAGAAATGATGAACAGGCAGATTTCAGAAAAATCTGGGAAGATTTGTACAAACTGATGCACAGTGAAATGAGCAGAACCAGCAAAACATCGTACACAGTATCAGTAACATTGTGTGATAATCAACTATGAATGACTCAACTCTTCTCAGCAACACAATGATCCAAGACAAGTACAAAGGACTGACGAAGTAAAATGCTTTCCATATCCAAATAAAGAACTGATGGACTCTGACTGCAGACCAAAAGATACCTTTTAAAATTACATTATTCTTTCTTGTGTTTTTTTTCCTTTCGATCTTTCTTCTTTTACAACTGTGATTAATATGGAAATATTTTTATAGTACAGGTATAATCTGTATCAAATTGCCTACCATTTTCAGAAGAGAGAAGGAGGAAGAGAGAAAAATTTGGAGCTCAAAATCTTGTAAAAATGAATGCTAGAAATTTTCTTGACGTGTAACTGAAGGAAAAATAAAATATTATTTTAAAAAATAAAGTGGTTTAAAAAAAAGAATAAGACCCACTGTCCAATACGAACAAGGAGTTCTCAAAAGAAGAAACATATCATCAACTACCATATGAAAAATGCTCCATATAAGTAATAAAAAGATAAGTATAAATCAAAGTAACTTTGAGATTTCATCTCAAACATATCAACTTGGCAAAGATTACAAAAAAGAAAAATGACAATTGTTGGAGAATAGAAGGCTAGGCATATTAAGCATTGTTGGTGGAACTATGAATTGATCTACTATTTTGCAATATTACTGGAACTACACCCCAAAATTATCAAACTATGTACACCCTTTGACCAAGAAATACTACTAATAGGCCTATTGCCCAAAGAGACTTTTTTAAAATGGGGGAAAGACTCATACATATGAAAGTATTTGCAGTAGCACTTATTATTGTAGCAAAGATTGGAAAGACTTTGTACCCATTCATTGCTAAATATGTCATGGGGTATGAATGTAATATAACATTATTCTGTGATAGGAAATAACTAAAAAGATGGATTTTGAGAGACCTGAGATTTATATGAACTGATGTCAACTAAAGTGAACAGAACAATTTAGTCAATGACTAAAGCTTTGTAAAAGAGAACAATTTTGAAAGATTTAAAAACTCAGATCAATGTAATGACTAACCACAACTACAGAAGACTGATAACAAAGCACTCCTCTCATCTTTTGGTGGAGAGGTGATGAACTAGAGGTGAAGAATAAGGCATACATTTTCAGACATGACCAATATAGCACAAATTTCCTTTGTTCAACTATGCTGATTTGTTACAAAGGAGAATTTTTATTTGGATAGGAGTAACTTGGGAAGATAAAATGGGTTAATGATAGAGATGGAGAAGGAAGGAAGGAAAGAAAGAAGAAAGGAAGGAGGGAAGGAAGGAAAGAAGAAAGGAAGGAAGGAGGGAAGGTAAGAAGGAGGGAAGGAAGGAAAGAAGGAAGGAAGGAGGGAGGGGAAGAAGGAGGGAAGGAAGGAAAGAAGGAAGGAAGGAAGGAAAGAAGGAAGGAGGGAAAGAAGTGTAAAAGGACGATTTTTAAAATAAACAGAAAAGATTCATAAAAGGATTCAGATAAGCAGGGTAATGTTGGTATTACCATATTAAATTTAAAATGAATTTTTAAAAAACCTGTTATTAATAGTCACAATTTTACAAACAATCCCCTTTTTCTCATGTCTTTCTCTTGTCTTTCATTTGCAAATGAAAATGTTCATGTTGACAATTTTGTAGTTCATTACTTTAAAAAATAGATCAAAGTATGGAAGATGGTAAGCGGGAAGGTCTCTTGGAAGGTGAAAACTAAAATTCAAATAAACAGTTTAAAACAGACAGAAGCTGCATGTGTTCTCCATATTTTCTGCTTAATAGATCCATTATAGCTATAAAACATGTGTGCTACAAAAATATGCATAGAGAATTCTTCTTGGCTGCGAGGGAATGCTGACAAAGTAACTAAGCAACACTAGCAAAGAGAATTATTATTTTCTTTTTCCCATTGATACCTGGTGTTGCTGTAGCCTAAAAATCAATGCTACCTATTCAAAAGAAAAAAAGAGGAAAACAATCAAGATCTGCAAAATTTAATAACAATAGCTAGCATTTACGTAGCACTTTAAGGTTTGTACAGTGCTTCTCAAATACTATCTCATTTAATCCTTATAATAACCCTTGGACAAAGATGTTCTTATAATCTCCATTTTACAGAAGATGAACCTGAGACAGGCAGATGTTAAGTAATTTGCCCAGGGTTAGTCAGTTAGTGTCTGAGGCTGGATTTGAATTCTGAGATTCCTGACTCCAAATCCTCTACTTTAAAAATATTCGTAAAATACTTTACAAACATTAAAGTAACAATATAAATGCTAGCTATCATTATTTTTATGCATCAACAATTGGCTTCATAGAAAATTAGGGCCAAACAAATAACTTCAGTAGCCCAGCCCAAGTTATATGGCCACCAGAAGAGAGTTGACTAATTAATTGCCACCCTTACTAACATCACCTCATTTCAGACAAGTGTTGGGATCAAATTGGGAAAAGGTAAAAATAGATGGGAGAACACTTACCCCATATTATTCTTCAAGATGACAGGGTCTTCTTGTTATAGTCTACTTCTCCAGACCTTGAACAACCGAAAAACCTATATGGCTTAACCATCCAGTTAACCTATTGAAATGTGAATTACAGGTTCTCTGGAGCATTTGACAATGTTGAGCATCTTCTCCTGAATATTCTCTCTAGGGTTTCATGATGGTGCTCTCTCTTGACAGATCAAGTCTTAGTCTCTTGTGGGATTATAACCTATGTCATACCCTTTAACTGTGGGTTTATCCCCAGGGTCTCTCCTGGGTCCCCATTTCTTTCTACAATTTCTCACTAGGTGACTTCATGAGCTCCTGTGGCTTTAATTAATTATCATTGCTATGTAGATGAATCCTAGATCTATATAATCTAACCCTTATAATTATATCTCACCTGGAATGGCCTCCTAATTGGTATCCCTGATTAAATCTCCCCCCTACCTTTGATGTGATCAAAGCATTCGTCTAACCATGTCACTTTCCTGCTCAATAAGTTCCAATGGTTCTCAATTACTTCTAGGACAAAATACAAACTCTTCTGTTTAGCATTTAAAGCTCTTCCTGAACTAGTGCCAGGCTATCTTTCCATCTTCTATTACTCCCCTTCATACACTCTATGGGTCCAGTCAAAACTGGCCAATTTGCTATTCCTTACAAATGGGTCTCTTTGCCTTCGCTCAGTTGCCATCCTTAAATCTGGAGTGTACTCATTCTCACTTCCAGCTCTTCAAATACAAAGTTTCCTCATAGTTCATATCAAATGCTGCTTCCTACATGAGATGTCTTCCATAAAGCCAGCTGGGAGACAGAGAGCTGGACCTAGAAGCAAGAAGACCTGATTTTAAAACCAGCCTCAGACACTTAACAGCTGTGTGACCCTAAGCAAGTGTATTTGCCTGTTTCCTCATCTGTAAAATGGAGATAATAACAGCACCTACCTCTCAAGATTTAATATTTGTAAATTACTTAGCAAAACTTAAAGTGCTATATAAATACTAGCTATTATTATTACATTATTATTACTTCATAAATATGAGAGAGAGACAGAAACAGAGACTGAGAGAGACAGATCATTCCCCTTGATATAACATAAACTCTCAGAAGAAAGGAATTATTTCATTTTTGTCTCTAGTACATATGCTGGTTAGCAGTTCCTAAATTCTTCCTGATTGATATACACAATTTGAATGAATGATGAAGGAATTTTGAAAGAACAAGCAGAATATTTAATTAACTAGATATGGTCGTCTATTGACCTGAAATTCAATGGTCTGCTAATATGTTCTCAGACATGTTAAAGAAAAGAAGTCACAAGGAGTATGGGTATAGAACAGTCAAACAATGATAACTGTGTAAAGTGATGATTATGCAAATCTCTTAGGTTTTAAGAAACCTAAAATACACTGGGCTTATCCTCATATGTGCTCTAAGAGTATATCCACATAAAAAATACTGTACTGTACATCTGAAGAGGGTTGAATAAGTAATAAAGCAATGATTTCATAGTCCTCTTGGTATTCCCTCACAGCAACCAATTGGTAACAAGTAATTCCTTGTCCTTGCCCCTCCTACCAGGAACCTGCCACTTCTGCTGCCCTTCAATAGCTCCTAAATAAAAGAAAGTTTTTTTCAAGGGATCAAATATGCAGAGCTGGAACTTATGTAGTCCAACTCCATCTTTAAAAATGGGGAAACTGAGGCCCAAAGAGTGGAAAAAAAAATCTTGACAGATTTTGATAAAGGTAATAAATAACACTGATTCAACAACAAATATTTGTTAAGCACCTATTATGTGTCAGGAATTGTAACAGATCATTCTAGCACCTAAACGTGATGAGATTCTGATCTAGGATGGTGGTCATATATGTAGAGGGATGTGAAAAAAATATCAGAAGTGTTTTGGAGTAGACTCAACAACTGATTGGATATGAAGAATGAGGAAGAATGAAGAGTTACAATTGTAAACTGAGACTTGAACTCAAGTCTTCTGACTCCAAATTCAGCGCTCAATCCATTCTACCACATTCCCTCCCAGACTAGGCATAGGGTTAGGCTAGCCCAAGGACATTTAAGCCAAGTTCTATTGACTCTAATCTCTTCCATTAATTCATTCCAAGGCCATTTATTAAGCACCTATTGTTACTGAGGACTATACTACACTATGAAGTCAAGTCTGTGATATAATGGAGCTTCTTATTCTAATGGGAGTATACAGACATGCACAATTATGTAATACATAATACACAAACATGTGTGTATATATATATATATACACACACACACACACAATTACATTTTTTAAAATCACAATATTCTTTAATTTTTCATTAGATAATGGGTTTCTTCAATGTGAACACTCTTTCCAGCAGCAGAGATCAAAACCCATTTATGCTTTATCCTGTGAAACTCTTCTCCATCCTTCCAAGAAGATCTACTGTCCTTGCTCTTTAACAAGGTGAGTATCAGTGAAGCACTTGAGTTGTCCATCTGTGGTTGCTTATTATATGATCTCTTTTTTGAACCATACCTTTCTTGGAGGATGCAGAAAGCATTACATACATAGTGCTGGCCTGTTCAACACATGGCCTGCAGGCCACTTGCAGCCTGCCAAAGGATTTCAGGAAGCCCATAAAAAACGTAGAGGATATAAAAGAAAGTAAAGAAGTAAAGAGTGCTTTGCCTGTCCTGCTTAACCCACCTTCCACTAGTCACTATTGTGCCTGTCATGTAACTTGCTTTTGACCACTGCCTCCCTCAATCTTCCCTCCCTTCTATCAGCCCTCTCCCTTTTCTTTCCCTTTTCCCTTACCACTTTTACCCTCCCTTCTAACCACCCCCTCCCTTTTTTTTTCACTTTCCCCACCTACTGCCTATAGGCAAATTAGATTTCTATACCTGAGTATTCCCTCCTTGAGCCAAATCCTGATGAGAGTAAGGTTCAAACAATGCTTATCTCCCTCCCTTCTTTCCCTCTACTGTAATGTGTCTTGTGCCTTTTCATGTGATGTAATTTACCCTTTTCTGCCTCCTCCTTTCCTCTTCTCCCATTATAATCCCTTTTCACCCCTCAATTAGGTTTTTTATCATCACATCAAAGTCAATTTATACCCATACTCTCTGACTGTATATCCTTTCTAAAAGTCTTAATAAAGATACAGTTCTCCAGAGTTACAAGTATCATCTTCCTATGTAGGGATGTAAACAGTTTGCCCTTATTGAATAATTTTATTTCTTTCCTGTTTACCTTTTTATGCCTCTCTTGAGTCCCACATTTGAAGATCAAATTTGCCATTGAGTTCTGGTCTTTTCATTAGGAAGGTCTGGAAGTCTTCTATTTCATTGAATATCCATCTCCTTGCCTGAAAGATTATGCTCAATTTTGCTGAGTAGTTGATCCTTGGTAGTAATCCAAGCTCCTTTGCCTTACAGAATATCATGTTCTAGCCGTATGATCTTTAATGTAGAAGCTATAATCCTGACTGTGGATCCACGATATTTGAATTGTTTCTTTCAGGCTGCTTTCAGTATTTCCTCCTTGACCTGATAATTCTGGAACTTGGCTATAATATTCCTTGGCGTTTTCAATTTGGGATCTCTTTTAGGAGGTGATGGGTGGATTATTTCAATGACTACTTTAGCCTCTGGTTCTAGGACCTCACAGTGGGTTTTCTTTTCTTTTCTTCTTTTTTGTGAAGCGATTGGGTTAAGTGACTTGCCTAGGGTCACACAGCTAGTGTCAAGTGTCTGAGGCCGGATTTGAACTTAGCTCTTCCTGACTCCAAAGCCGGTGCACTATCCACTGCGCCACCTAGCTGCCCCATGGCAGTTTTCCTTGATTTCTTAGAAGACGCAGTTCAGGCTCTTTTTTTCATCATGGCTTTCAGGTAGACCAATAATTCTTAAGTTGGCTCTCCTGGGTCTATTTTCCAGGTCAGTTGTTTTTCCAGTGAGGCATTTTACATTTTTTTCAATTTTTTCATTCTTTTGATATTGTTTTACTGATTATTGATGTCTCATAGAGTCATTAGCTTCCACTTGACCAATCCTAATTTTTAACAAATTGTTTTCTTCAGTTAGCTTTTGCACCTCCTTTTCCATTTGGCAAATTCTGTTTTTAAAGGAGTTGTTTTCTTCAGTGTACTTTTTTTCCATTTGGCTAATTGTTTCTACAGTCAATTTTTTGTTCTTTCTTTTCCAAGCTATTGACTCTCTCTTGCAACTTTTCTTCTTCCTCTCTTATTTGACTTTAAAATCCTTCTTGAGCTTTTCCAAGAAGGCTTCTTGGGCTTGAGACCAGGTCATATTCCCCTTTGAGTTTCTGATGTGGGTATATTGACAATGATGTCCTCTTCTGAATTTGTGTTTTGATCTTCCCTGTCCCCATAGTAAGAATCTATGGTCTTTGTTCTGTGTTGCTTTTTGTTCATGGTGGTTGCCTTTTTCCTGGCTTTTAAAGTTAATCTCTGCTTCTGGGGCACAGGGGACACTGTCCCACACTTGTTGTGCTGGGGTCTAGGGGCCTGTTGTGTTCTGGGGCCTCAGGTTCTGGCAGCTGCAGAGGCTGTAGCTTACCTGGTACTGAGCAGGAGATGGTGGTGGTGGCTGGTGGGTGCTAAGGCCAGGTGGGGTTTTTCTGCCTTTCCCCAGGGTTACACTGAAGCTTGCAGAGTGGGGTGGGGGAGGTGGTCTGATGCTGGAGGTCACTTCCTCACCAGGGCTGCACTAGAGCACAGGTAGGCTGGTAGATGCCTATCCTCCACACAATTGGTGGCTCTCTGTGCTGGTGTCTGCCAGTCACCCTGGTTGTGCCAAGGCATGAGCCAAGGCATGTGCTCTACCTCTCTGGGGCTCAGGATCTGCCGCTGGTTTGCTGAGGTGGGGCTTGCTGCTGGCTTCCTGAGCGCCTCCTATCCTATACTGGTCCCCATCAGCCACAGCAAGAGGGACTTTTCCTGTTAACCCCCCTAGCCTCATGAGCTAAAAAACTGCTGTACCCTATCTTTCTGCTGGCTCCACTGTTCCAGGATTTTTCCTGGGATAGTATTTTCTAGGTTTTTCAAAGTCAATAAGGAAGTGTGAGAATGACTTACTGCTTACTCCACCATCTTGACTCCCAGAACCCCATCATGTAACTTGGTGGGTGGGTTACCAATGTGCACTCTCTCCTGTCACGTGACCTGAGGCAACCAACCATCATCAGTCTGTCTGTAATCCGAAGGGAGCGAGAGTCATCTTTTCACTGTGTTTTAGGTTGTTATTCTATCATCAACAAACAACAGCAGATGGGG